GACAACTAGTGGAGAGACAAGCGAGTTTTCAGTGACAGTAGGCTTATATTAGGGGTCAAGCATTGAGCTCGTATCTCTTTGTTTTGGTTATGAACGTGTTAACTAGGCATCAACTGCCAGAGCTACCATGGTGTATGCAGTTCACGGATGACAATTTTGATTGATGAAACTAGAGACGATGTCAACGTTGATTTAAAACTTTGGAGGGATGCTTAGGAATCTAAAGGTTTTAAAATTAGTCGAACTAAGACAAAATATATGGAATGCGAGTTTAGTAATAATAAGAGTAGAAATGAAGTAACAGTTAATATTAATGGCCAAGAATTTCCCAAAGGAGATTATTTTGATATCTAGGGTCAATAATCCATAAGAATGGAGAGTTTGAGGAAGATGTCGCACATAATTAAAGTAGAGTGGGTGAAGTGTAGGTGTGCTTCTGGAGTTTCATATGATTGCCACATATACCAATGAAACTGAAGGGAAAGTTTTACAGGATGTATGTAAATCTAGCATTACTTTATGAGATGGAATATTGGGCTGTCAAGAAACAATATAGGGAAATTATCACAAATATACTTTAATTTTCATCTATTTAAAAAAAACCCTCAACTTTGATAAATCTCTCCCACACCCTTTTTCTTTAATTTTGGACATTTTTAACCAAAATAACCTTCATGGTAGTTGTATTACCGTGAAGCAGTACTTTAATTACCGTAAAAACTAATCCATGTTATTCGGAATTTTAAGTACCGTAAAAATTAACCCATGCTATGCGGCATTTTAAATACCGTAAAAATTAACCCATGTTATACGGCATTTTAAGTACTGTATTTTATTTTTTGTTTTTTTTATACAAATTGTTTGAATATAAAATTTGGTATGTGCCATCTTCTCATTGGGGTGCACTTATAAAAAATATTAAAAATAATTTTTCGACAAAATATAATGACCACAATACCCCTTGAACCTTTCAGAGGTATTTTGGTCATTTTATTTTATTGAAAATATTTTTTTTATATTTTTTGCTAGTGTGAGTTTAATAGAGGAATGGACGTCCAAAATTTGGTGTCAAAATAGTTTATAGAAAAAAATT